CGCTCTTTTTCCTATCCTTGCCTCCGAACCCGAACCGATGACAGGTACCGAAACCCCCACGCTCTCATTGGCCGGTGTCCGGATCAGGCCTAGGCCATGTGAAAGTTCTGTATTTGATTTGAAGTGCTGGAAAACCCCAAGGGCCAAGTGTCGATAACACATCTGGTTAGTCTACGCATTCAACGACTTTTACAGTTGAGTGACGAAAGTCTACCTGATGTAGTGGTCTACTTGATGTATGTAGTGACATTTGGGATGATATGCGGGAGCTTGACAGAGAGCCGCGGATAGAATGCACAATAATTGCCAGTGCACATGTATGACGAAATGATGCAGTACATATCGAGTGGGTGCGCCACAGCTTGAACGGGGAGGGGCGGGGGTGGCATATCAAATCACAACAGAACTGGAAATTTCAAATGAGGTTGAATTGCGAGGCAAAAACGAATTCGAAGATGGGGCGTCGTCGTCTTGGGCATTTGAAGTCAGGCTGGATGGAGCGGAATTTCCAATAAGGGAACTGCAAAGTGGACCGGTAACCGGAGACGAACCTCTACTCCGCGAGGCTTGCCTCTCAATTGAGTGAGTAGTTACTACCAGTCTAACTGCCCAAAGTACGTTAGACTGTAGGCATAGAGATGTGTGCAGGGATCGAGAACGTGCCTGTGTTAAACTTGAAAGGGAGCAAGCACGAGTTCTGGGGGTGGGCGCGAACTGAAGTGGGGCCACGGTGTAGCTGAGTCACAGTGGGTGGAGGAAAGACAGCGCACCCTTTGGGGCGTTACCGGCGTCGGCGCCACATCTACACAAGTCTACATGTTAGGGTAAACCTTATTACCGCCGTTGTATGCATTGTAGTATGAGATTCTCGCGGGTATAAATAATTAGTTAGAATATAAGGAGTAAAGTATGAAATTCAAAGAGGATGAGCAGCTTGGTGCGAATGTGACGTAGAGGTCCATGCGTCGGTAAGCAGATACGTGGAGGGATGGTCGCACTGGAGTTTTCGACGCGAGAGGCAGAGCATGAAAACGTCGAGCGTGGCCATAATCCATCGTCTTCAAGCGGGTATGTATGACCGAGCATTGATAAGCAGATAGCTTTCATTCGCTTCAATCGGGAATCAGAGGGATCGATGAGGTTGAGTCCATTTCAACGCATCGGACATGTCGGCGATCCTATTCTAATTTCTATTTCGCTATTTCGACGAATGCATCATGATCTTATCTTATCCTAGTGTCACGTGGTGCGTTGAGTCCGCCGTTGCGCGTTCAATTTGAATTCAAATTGCGCCACCATGGCTAACCTGTCGCGCACCGCAAAGTCCGGCAGCAGCTGGACTCTCCAAGATCTGCAGTCCTACCACAATAGCCTCAACCAGGCTGACGCGCCGGTTCTTCGGCGTACAGGTAGGCGAGGATAGGCCTCAACGCCCTCGGAAAAACGAACGACTTGGTACGTTACAGGAGTTGCCGCAGCCTCCCAATGATCTGGTAGAGCTGGTAAACAGTGTCGACCCCCGCGCTATGCAGCAACAACAAAACGCACGTTTGCTTCATCACCTCAGATTCGCCATGAACCCCGAACCCCATATGTAATGGTCACAGCGCCGTGGTTAATTATACCTTCAAGCTTGTAGAAATTGTGGGTTACGCCCGACAAGGACAGCGATTGGCACGCAAGCGAGTGGATCTCCCGCTCCTGATTTGCGGCGAAAAGAGGCACGCAAAGACCAACGTCTGTGTCGCCGATGGATCTCAGAACATGAACACCATTCTTGTTGTCCAGGCGGTGAGCTCATCCAAATTGAACTCGCAGGAGCCTGTCAATGCGCGAGAACAGCTGGTAGCGGAAGCGGTCACAGCCTTTAACCAGAATAATGTGCAGAGGGAAAATGTTGGGCTCCCTCCTGTGGAGGAAAAAGTGAGCCATTTCCGAGGACGTTAATTCACTCACCCCTAATTGTTTTACTAGGTTATGGCCGGTATTGTCATGGTGGGCTCTACGCCCGAGTTCTTCAAAACTCCCGTCACTCAAATTCTATCGACTCATCCGCCATGGGACCTATCCCCCAGAAGAAACCCGCGTGACCTATTTTCATCCATCCGTTCCTCGTCCTGACCTCCTGCGACCTCAAGGGATGCAGCCTCTGGAAAACTGATGCGAGATTTTAAGGTGTTATGAAGCATTTAAGGCGTTTGTGGGATTACAGCATGTACCAGTACCTTGATTGATTGATAATCAAATGTGAGGAACTTGTTTCGAAGTGTCGCGGAGTTTGAAATTTGGCGTAACCCACAACCTCCTACACAACTTGAACAAGGCAACGACGAACACGACGACAAGGCGGACGCCGACGACTTGATGCGACCGAGGTTTGCGGGTCGAGGAATGTCGGGCATGGAGTAGCACCACGAGGTCGTATTCAATCTTTTGTGCGTTATGGCCCAATACCTTTTTCTTCTCCTCGTATTTTGATCTTTTGCTCTTATCCCAGATGTGTGTTACGCTCTGGCGTCAAGGGTCAAGCTAGAGGTGGCAGTACGCGGGCCAGTCTGCATGATGTGCGTTCTCTTTTCAATCTCTCAAATGCAACTGCCATATCAATCCCTTCACAGCTTTTATGATATCCATCCTAGCGGACAACAGACTATGATCCCTCCACAGTTTGACTGTGGATCCAAGCAACGGTTGAACGCCTACGTGTCGAGATAACATGGAGCATATCCAGTCGGATCCCGCCAACGTCTCGCAAGCTCCGACTCCCCGACGACTCACCCGGCCGGGCCTTCCTCGATCTTCTCCGTTCAACCTCTCAAGTATTTCCCAGCACCAACATTAGTACCGATTCGCACCTTACGAGTTCTTTCACGTTGGGCTTCGGCTCCCGGGCCGAATCGTCTTGAGGAACATTGACTGACTCTATGGCAGCTGGCTAGAACTTGAAATACGCCCTGGCCTTCCATGCGTCCTACGTACATGCTACTCTTGGCACCTCGACCTCAACTTGGAATGTTCGGACGCCACTCTGGAGCTTTCAACGATACAGTTGACTGGGAACCATACTGGCATACACGCATCTATCTCTCTCGAAGTTCGCCTGGTATCTATGAGATCTATATATCCCATATTCGGTTGCCCTATATCAATTTATTGATTCACGTTGAACCCTTGTCGTCGCTGAGTCCACGTCGTCGGGCCATGAGTCCAGTCCATTCATCCAATTCTCCCATCTCCAGTAAATCGCCGAGCAGTCGCTGAACAGCCTCTATTCGTCCTTAGCATCACCTCATTTGCCTCTGCCTCATTCTCTGCTGTCCCCAGTCCCGCCTTCTCCAAATTCAAAAGTCGAAAGTGAAATCTCGAGCTGCCCCGAAGAAACTTGAAAGTTGAACCACAGGGCCCGTCGCCCAGCGCACAACCGTTGCTTACTTGCGAGCTTATGCAGACGAAGTAACGCATGTTCGAAGGCCGAGTTTGAGTAGGTTTGAGTGCTTGCGTGCTCGGAAGAAAATAATTCAGTCAGTGTCACTGAACTTCGGGGTAGAAGGACCAATTACACTGAAGGGGAATCGAACCCCTGCCGCTTGCTTCAATGCGTTGAATGGAAGGCAAGCATGATAACCACTTCACCATCAGTGTTGGAATATAACGTCAGTATAGAACTACATGACGCGGCAGCGGGCTTTGCCAACGAGAACTTTGGGGTCGTCATCGTCCCACTGCTCGCTCTAGCTACTTGCTACCACGTTCATTCTCGACGATGAGTATCGCCACACCGCCGTTGCCAAGTAGGCTACCACCACTGACCATATTTTATATCATAATACTTATGTAAGTACTATAGATGCATTTTATTATTCATTGGATGTCATTATCTGTCTTGTCAATACGCTTGGTGCGCTTAAAGCAATGGTATAATGAGATAACTCATTCTCTAATTTCTTCGGGATAAAAACTTGAATCAGATTGTTTAATGATATAAACGCGGTACGCCACACTAATAAGACATTCATTGCCGATGTCACTGGACGGTTCAGGTGTTAACAATACAATGGTTCACGACTAAGTAGTGCGGTTGGGTGGTCTACAGCGATGTCCAAAAAGTTTATTTTGGGTTTATATATTACGAATAGGATGTGTCCCCGCTCGCTGGGGATGCAACCTAGACTCCTGTAGTCTCGACTCAGCCGAATTCCCCGAACTCATAGAACGATACCAGCACATATTCTTTAAAGGTGGACATCGACGATTGAAGGGTAAGGGAGATGCACAGACTGTGAACAATACCTACTACTAGAACTAGTGAGTAGTCCGGGTAGAGGAAGAGACTCGCTTGATTGGAGCCTATATGATAGAATCTGATATCGGTTAATCATGTGTCAAGGCATGACGAGGATCACTCGACTGAGCACTGGGCCACGACAGATATGGTGCCGCAACCAACCTACATATGTACCCCACAAGCAAATCCATTTGAAATAACTTCCGCGCAACCGCGGGCCCGCGGGGCTTGAATTTGAAATTTAAACTTAAAGGTCCCGAACGCTATGTTGCTTCAATGCTTGCAAGGTCGAACTTCGCATCGACATGTAACACAAATCACGTCCACCTTGGCATATACGAGACCGGAAAACCAGCAGATGTGGCTTCCGGGGAGACACTGTCGCACCACCGCGGCCGCGGGCAAAATTGTGGCAAATTTACGCCTACAAATTCAATGTACAGTCTGCTTGTTTTCCCTGGTACTACACGTGCGCTAAACTTTCTTATCCGCTCTTCCGCTAATCTATGTATGCGCTAGTCTATGTACAGTACTATCTCTTTTGGGGTCAGGCCTTATCTTCTTTATTGCCATTGATGACGGCGGCATTGATTCAATGGAGCTCTGCCGCTGAACTCAAAGCCGGCAAGCAAGCCGCAAGCTTCAGGAAATCCGTAACGACGAATATGTAATCGCTGGACCGATGCGCATGCGTATAAATGGGCCACCCCTCTTTCATCGACCGTAAGAAACATGACCTCTCCACTTCACCAGTTGCTCAACGTCCTAACAGAGTCCGTGAGCGATCTCGAGGACGCCTGCGCTGCTTCTGGCACAGCTATTCCTGATCTCTACACCCCGTTCCATCCAACATCTGAGGCCTTTCGCGGCAACCCGAAGGCGGCTGAGGCCGCGAATATTATCTCTGCCGCCGCGCTGCAGATTGAGGCTATCTTGACACCTCCTCAGGTGTCGCTGTATCACATTGTTTCAGGCGTAAGTGCAGTGAACTTCAGTGCCTCTATTGCGCGAACAGTCTTTTTAGCATTGGAAATCAACCGCACTACGAGTGGTTCTGGAGTCGAACGTCACCGAGATTTTGCGCGAAGCCGGACCTGAGGTACGCATTTCACCTTTCTTCGCAAATGGGGATCTTTTCTCAACTTAGCGCTAGGGCCTTCATGTCAACGATATCGCTTCTAAGAACGGGCAGGATCCTCGTAAACTAGGTAAATGTCTCGTTATTATTTCGAATGGTTTCAAACTAATCGTGGCTCTGATTCCAGCCCGCTTCCTCCGGTACCTCGCTATCCATCATGTCTACCGAGAACTTCGTCCCGACGTGTTTACCAACACTCGCATCTCGAGCATGCTCGACACTCTGAAGCCCAGTCAGGAGATTATCGACAAGTACGTCTCGAAAAGCCAGCCATTGTCTCGAAGCACTGACAATCCCTGGTTAGCCCTGAGACCAAGCACGATAACACACCTGGACTCACTGCGTTGGCTGGTCATCAGTGAGTTCTATTGTCGGGCGCTCTCATGACATCTACTGATACACGCATCCGCCAGCCTCGACGAGACTTTTAAGGCATCCGCTTACGCTTGGGAGACTTTGAGCGATCCGTTAACGGCCAAGTCTAGCGACCCCAGGGCGACGCCTCTTTCGAGAGCCTACAATACCAAGGAAACCTACTGGGAGATCGTTGCCCGTCAAGAACACCTATTCCGCCGCTTTAACATCGGGATGCAAGGTATCCAGGCATTGCAGCCTGCTGATGCCATCCTGGACGGTCAGTACCCACATGCGATGAAGCTAGCCAGTATATCCTGATCACATCCTGTACCAGCTTACGACTGGAAAGACCTGTCGTCCGGATCTGTGGTTGTTGATGTCGGGGGTGGTGTCGGATCATCGTCTCTCATATTGGCGCGAGAATTTCCAGACGTAGAGTTTGTAGTTCAAGACCTTTCTATTGTCATCGGAGACGCAGAAAAAGTACGCACTTCTTTCGTTTTTCCCTCAATGATCTAACACCTGTACATAATTCAGGCGTGGAAGGACCTGCCCAACGCCAAAGTCACACTCGAAGGTGAGTTGTTTCCGCATTTGCAGTACTTACATCGACCGATCGATTCACGGTTCTTCGCAGTCCAGGACTTCTTTGAGCCACAGCCCGAACGCAATGTATCCGTCTTTTTGCTGAAACAGGTCCTTCATGACTGGTCGGACGAATACGCCGCCAAGATCCTCACTCAGCTCCATGCCATCGCACAGCCGGAGACAAAGCTCCTTCTCGTCGAGAGCATTATTCCCTTCACCTGCCATGACCCGAGCGGTGACAACGATGAAGGCATTCCCGGATCAGTCCCCCGGGAGGCCCCCGCACCACTTCTCGCAAATTACGGTGCCGTCAACGAGATGCCCTACCACGCCGACATGGCCGTAAGTCGAGTTGATATCCCATAATGTTTCGCGCTCACTGATGAGGTCTATGGTAGATGTTCCTGCTCACAAACTCGCAGGAGCGTAATATACGCCACTTTGACGAGCTGCTTCTCAGCACTGGCTGGAAGATCAAGGTGGTTCGACGCAAGGAGGGCGCCTCCTTCTTGCAGTCCATTGAGGCGATCCCTGTCGATGTTCCTGCCACTTGAGAGCCATGCAAATTTCTGTCCCCTATGTACTACTAGCTGGATTCAGAATCCATGAAGTACAAGAAATTCAGGAACGCCACACTCTAAGTGATGCGGACATCCGAGAATGCATCGAGCAGCGGCGGCTACTAGTAGCTCATTTCTATTATCTAATGCTGCACGAAAGTCGCTACTGCGCGACGTTTATCCGACTTCATAGTAGACCTATCGTTTTCACAGTGTCTATAGTTTACGCCCAACTTACAAGTCAAACCTACGTACTGGAGGGGATGATCAACGCCGTATTGCCATATTGCTACGGAGGCGAGGTTCATATCTAGTCGCCACCATCTGGGACCAGAATCACTTCTGTCTCGGATGGCGGTAGTGCATTGTAAGTGGGGCAAAGAGAACGCCAGTCGTCTAGAAGAAACGGCGTCAAGAATGCTACTAGAAGGAGAGAAGAATGGCTTGCTAACCCGTTGGTTGAACCGCGACGTCGGTGTTTCCAGGATCTTCTGCGAATACAACTGCTAGTCCGCTGAAATCGAAGATCAATATATGTATGGCTGATAAAACAACATAAACATGCTTACGCGTCTAGGTGGAATTCGATGTGACTGTATGATGAATTTCGATTAGGGATCGAGCGTTGTTGTATTTATGAAAGGAAATTATCACCAGTGGAACAACCAAGGGCCGGCGTTGTCGGTGGTAAAGCGGATGGTCACATTGCTTCCAATATCTCCAATGCTGACCACGTCGCGTCGCACAGGGTTCTTATAGTTCGCTTTGGCGTTTTTCCCGGCGCTCCTAATCACAGAAAACGCATGCTAGATCAGTTTGAACAGTTAGCATGCAAATCATGGAAGAGGCTAAGGGTGTCCTTACTCCATGTAAATGGAATGGATGCTTTGAAGCCCTAATGAGCATGAAATACCGTACCATCAACACAGATTAAAATCTCACTGGTCCCACTGCAGCGCCTCCTGGAACCGTTACTTCAATAACTTTGTTCCTCGGCAAGGTGAATATTGAGCCTGACGGCAGGAGCTCCTGTGCGGTTTTAGCGCCGGAAAGAATTTGAAGGAGGATGGGGACGTTCGGCGCCCAGTAAGACACGTTATTCACCAGGAACCGCAGCGAATCCCAGTCTATGGTGATGTCGAGATTGATATTCACGTCCGCACCACCAGCATGTGGAGCACCGGGAGCACGAGCGTCTAGCAAAAGTGGATGAAGTTCCGATTCTTCGAGCAATTTCCCAGACTTCTTTTGCCAGGACGTTGGCTCAACCTCCTTTGCGCCTTTGTAGCGAAGAATGGCGGAATTGATACCCCGGTTGAAGTTTGCTGGCAGGTCACCCCTACCGATGTTCGGCAGTGCGCGGATCCAGTAATTATCGACCTTTTGGTTGGCGAAAATAACAAAAGAATAACGTTGACCTATGGCATCGTTGACATCAGAGGAGCGGTGGGGACAGGATGTGGCAGCGTACCGGCAAAGATTTGGATTTGATCGGCAGAATAGGGCACGATATTCTGACCATCGACTTCAATGACAAGGAACGGGTGGTTGTCGATGGAAAATAAAAAGTTTGGCTCGCATGCCACGGACACAAGGCGAATTCGATAACGCTTCAGCCTCTCTACGTTGATGACCGAAAGTGGTACCGCAGGACCATTCTCCGCTCGACCTTTGCCATTAATAAGTGTAGTATGGGAGAGGGGAATGTTGAGGA